ACGTGACGCGGCCGCAGCACGCCCCGAGTTGCGCGGAGTGCGAGGGCCCGCCCAACGCTGCTTGCAGCTTTAATTATTATTATTATTATTATCATCCATCGTCCCACATCGTTGTGGCTGTTGTCGTCGTCTTCTTCATGTTTGTCATCACCATCAGTCATTTCTATTAGTATAGTTGTTGCTATTAATAAAAATAAAAATATTTCCCCCTGGGATTATTAAAGTATTTCTGATTCTGATTGTTGTTGCTGTGCACGTTTGTCTCTGTCCTTCTCTCTTTACCCCCCCTTCTCTTCACTCTCTCTCTAACCCCAACTGGTCAAGGCAGACCTAGAGCCGAAGCCTTCTGCAGAAGTGTTTCCTTGCCAAGCCAAGTGCTTGCTCATGGTGGGAACTGTTGGGTCTCTGTAAATAATTTTATAACGAGTTCGGTCTAGACCTGCTTTATTTGAAAAGTGTCCTGAGATATCCTTTGTTATGAATTGGCGCTTTACAAATACAAATAAAACTGAATTGAATTTTCTTTCCCTGGTGTTAGTCCAAATTTTGTACTACGGTCATAAGCCATCATATGCACCATGTCTGGTGCAAACACATGTTGTCATTTTTAAACAACCACTTACGCAAAGAAGCCCAGTATGCCTTCTTCTCTGTAGACTGTGACGATGGAGTCAAACACCCCACTGAGAACAGAAGAGAGAAACATTTTTTTAGGTTTGTACCATTTTAATGGCTCTACTCATTGGGGTTTGTGACTAAAAACATTAAAACTTTACCTGTATTTTGTTTCCCTCCCAATAAACTGGACCATACATCGCAAAGTAATCACTGAAAAACAAGTTGAGGAAAACATACTTGACATGCAGACTATTGTCTTCCAACACACATTAGCCAGAGCTAAACAAAACATTTCTCATTTATCACAACTGAAACCACAAAACTCTGATACAACCTCTGGAAGTATCACATGCATATTGTTTTGGTTTGCCAGTTAAAGCCATCTGAAAGAGTTAAAAAAACATTTAGGACATACCATGAAAGGGATGTGTGACAATGGTGGCACAGGAACGAGCTATCATCTCTTTGGTTGTCTGTGGAAACGACAGAAAATAATCAATCAGATGTATGTATGTATGAGTGGACATGAGCATTACATAGATTCTGCACGTGTCTAGTTGATTCGCAATGGAAAATCTGAATTTACAGACCACAGATACAATAGGGACTTTTTTTTATTTATTTTGAAAATATTTAAATATCAGTGGAGTTTTGTGTATTGTGTATAGAGATGATGAAAAGCTAGAGCCGCGAACAAAAAATGTCAAATTCTCACAATGTCACAACATTTAATCTGTTTTGGCAGTGTGAAAGGTTTTTGGACAGTTATTTTAGATACTGAAGGTTATAAGGTGCCCTGTGGACTTTTTTTTTGAAAAACAAAATGCATTGTGTGTATCCCTGGGGTCTAACAAACAAGTTGAATGCCTTCCTGTCTTCATAAAACATTTGCAAAGCTGAATTTTGAAATAGTGTGTTTGTTTCAGATGCAACGAAGGTTGTCATGGCCACTTGGTTCCCAAGAAAAACCTGCTATTGTTTGGTTCCAGCTTGGAACCAACTTTTCAGGTTCCTAACCAATTTAGTTTTGGTCAAAATGCTCAGAACAGTTCAAAACTGGTCCTCGAACTGGAACAGAGCTGGTTACCTAGTAGCTGTTTTCAGAGAAAGTGCTCTAAAAACCCACAAACAGCAGACAGAAACTAAAAGAGTCCAAATTTGACTTACATTCATCAGGTGAAATTAATAATCATGTTCATCTGTGTCAACTTTATAGTGATGATATGTCAATCTTATTTCAGTTTTAAGTCTGATGATTTGAAACTGGTTGTTAAATAACTTCAGACTGCAGAAAAGCTGCCATGTTTAAGTTTCAAAATCCAGTCAGCTGGTGGGAAGGTGGCTGTTGATCTGACGTAGAGTTTAAACAGAATGACAGCCTTGCTAACACAGTTAGCACATGTGAAAAACACAGGGAATATCTAATATATTTAAAAGATGAAAAATGTGACAGCCTAGTGGGTTCCCACAAAAGAAATCCAGGTCCAATTCCTGGACCTTTCCCAGGAGTTTTCTAGACAATGCAAGACAATACTTGTTCACAAACAGTATAATTTTGAAATTTCCAGGTTTTCCAGGATGTGTGAGACGAGGTTGCTCTTGTATTGTGTGTTGCTTTCTAGTAGTATGTCATCAGAAGTGTACAAGTGTCTTACCTCGTTAACAACGTGCTGTAGGGAACCCTCCAAAGCCTTCTGCTGACCGCCTAATACCTGCACAACAGAGGCAGACCCCAGCATCGTCTATGAAAGACTTTTTTTGGCCATTTTATGGCCATTTTATGGCAAGACACAGCAGACATTTGTCTGAAGTAAGAAAGTATGATAAGTGATGACATGCAGCAAAGGCCAGTAGCCAGACCTATATTTGGGGAGTGCCTTAACCAGTAGGCCTAGGCCACCAAAGCAACCTGCCTATCTTGCTTCCCTTTTTGACCCAAGAAATAAGAGGCCCTTTGCATTCCTGTTCGTGTTTCCATTACACAGAACTGTAAACATGGCGCTAAGCAAGACTGGAAAATGGACCGATATGGCTGTTTCTCACGTGACAAAACAACAACACAGAGTCAGAAGGTTATTCTTTGTAAGTTGGCACGATAATGATTGGCGAAATGTATAATTTTTTGTATAATAATCATTTTGAATTCTAAGTATGTTTGTGAAATTTTTGTAATGTAGTTTTCCAGAAAAAATAAATGAACATTTGAAGAGTCAGAACTGTTGTTTGTTGTTGGTGTGGTAACACTAGTGACGTCTGTTACATCAGAGCTATGGAATACTGAATCATCCATCTTTTGTAGTTTATGCCATTAAGTGTGCATAAACTACAGGTTCATTTTTCTGTATTTTTTAAAATACAAAAAGGTGAAATTATCAGTAACCTTATGGGTTTCAGTCATGAGAAGAAGGTAGTTATTGGTTATTGTATCGACTGAAAGAAATATCCATATTGTGATTCCCTACTCCCAAATCCTAACATTAAAAAAGTGAACAACTTGTGCTGCTTATTTTAAGTTTGATGGATTGTTCAGATTGTTGCTCAGTCACTTGACAGTTGATGGGCCAGACACTGACTTAAAACTTTCAAGTGATTGGTCAGCTGTGTGGATGTGTAAATTAAACTTCTTTACACTTTAAGTGTATCAGATAGACGCACTCTACTATACAATATAATGATTTTTGGCAATGTACGTGACATCCTGCTGACATCTTACCTGAGGTGTGCCTTGTTCCTGACATTTCTGGAAGAAAGCAGATGTTAACATTATAAAACTGCAGATGTAAATAAAGACTCAATGAGTTACATTAACACCCTGGCTGGCAAAGACATTTATACTACCTTAACAGTAAAGGCAGAAAAAGACATCAGAAGCATATACTGTAACCACCTTTCATGTGTGGGGGGGTATAATGAACAGTAAGTGTAAGGAAAAGCAAGAATTATTTCAGTCGGAATTCTCCTCTGTTATGGTTTTGCAAAGGCACTGTCTTCTGTGCTTAGTGCCACTCGAGATGATTGTGACTGGTTTAAAAGAACTACAGACAGGTGAGCGCCTTTTCTGTTTTTACCAATACTTTTGCCACATTCAATTAGTAAAAGGGTAAATGGGCCTGTACTTGTACAGCGCCTTTCTAGTCTTCCGACCTCTCCCAAAGCAACTTTTACACTAACCATGCCACATTCACCCTTTCATACACATTCACACCAGCGATGGCAAAGTCCATCGAACAGAATCTAAAGCGTCATGTAGGTTTCCTTCCAAATTTTCCGGCATATGCCCTCCTCTCTGTGTTTCCTTCATTGAAGGATCGTACAGATGCCTGTAGAGGCGCAACTTGCTCGGAAAAGCTTCCTGTTTGGCTCAACTCCAGCTGAGAAAAAAAAAAAAAAAAAGAGTGGTGCGTGACTG